TTTCAGTTTGATGTAATCCCAGGCGTTTATCTTTTCCTTGACTTTCTTTGCTTTGGGTGATGAGTCTTTAAAGATGTTACTGGGATGTATGTCTTGCAGTGTTTTACCTATATTTTCTTCTATGTATTTTATGGTTTTAGGTCTTATGTCCAGTTCTTTTATCCATTCTGAGTTGATTTTTGTGCATGATGAGAGATAGTAGTCTAGTTTCATTTTTTTGCACGTGGTAATTCAGTTTTCCCAACACCATTTATTGAACAAACTGTCGATGTTCCATTGCATATTCTTTGCTCCTTTGTCAAAGATTAGTTGTCCATATAAGTGTGGCTTTATATCTGGGCGCTCTATTCGGTTCCATGGGTCTTTGTGTCTGTTTTTGTCCCAGTACCAAACTGTTTTAATTATTAAGGCTTTGTAATTTTAATTATTAAGGCTTGAAGTTTGGAAGTGTGATACCTCCTTTCCCCTTTGTTTTTTCATCAGTAGGGCTTTGTTTGGCTATTCACATTTTTTTGTGGTTCCATATGAATTTCATCAATATTTGTTCTATTTCTTTGAAGAATGTCATTGTGATTTTTTATTGGAATAGCATTGAATCTGTAAATTGCTTTTGGTAGAATGGCCATTTTAATAATGTTAATTCTTCCAATCCATGAGCAGGGGATGTCTTTCCATTTCTTTGTCTTTTATTTCTTTTAACAGTGTTTTATCATTTTCTTTGTATAGGTCTTTCACCTCTTTTGTTAGCTTTATTCCCAAGTATTTGATTTTTTTGTTTGAATTATAAAAGGGATGGTTTCTTGATTTCTTCTTCAGCTTTATGTGTATAGGAAGGATACTGATTTTTGTGTGTTGATTTTGTATCCTGCTACTTTACTAAACTGGTTGATTATTTTCAGGAGTTTTTCTGTGGAGTTTTTAGGGTTCTCTATGTATATTATCATATTATCTGCAAATAGTGATAGTTGTACTTCTTCTTTCCCTGTTTGGATTCCTTGTATGTCTTTTTCTTGTTTTATTGCTCTAGCTAGGACCTCCAGTATTATATTGAAGATCACTGGTGAGAGAGGACATCCTTGTCTTCTTCCTGATCTTAAAGGAAAGGCCTTCAGTTTTTCACCATTGAAAATAATATTGGCAGTGGGTTTGTTGTATATGGCTTTTATCATGTTAAGGTATGTTTCTTCTATTCTGAGAATTTCAGGGGCCTTCATAAATGGATGTTGGACTTTGTTGAATGCTTTTTCAGCATCTATTGATATGATCATATGGGTTTTATTTTTCTTTTTTGTTGATGTGTTGGATTACACTTCTCGATTTTCGTATGTTAAACCATCCTTGTGCCCCTGGATGAATCCCACTTGATCATGGTGTTTTATCCCTTTGATGCATTGTTGGATTCTGTTGGCAAGGATTTTGTTGAGGATTTTTGCGTCAGTGTTCATTAGGGAGATTGGCCTGTAATTTTCTTTTTTCTTTCTGTCTTTGGTTTTGGTATTAGTGTAATGCTGGCTTCCGTAGAACATATTTGGTAGTACTCCTTCTTTCTCAATTTTCAGAGAGAGTTTGTGTAGGATAGGCACTAATTCCCTGCTGAACGTTTGGTAGAATTCATTTGTGAAGCTGTCTGGGCCTGGGGTTTTGTTTTTAGGGAGTGCTTTGATTACTGCCTCGGTTTCACTGCTTGTAATTCGTCTGTTTAGGTGTTCAATTTCTTCTTTATCCAGCTTTGGATGATTATATTATTATAGGAATTTGTTCATCTCTTCTAGATTATCAAATTTGTTTGCATATAAGTGTTCATAGTAATCTGATTATTTCTGCTGAGTTTGTTGTGATTTCTCCTCTTTCATTTATAATCCTATCTATATGTGTTTTCTGTCATTTTTTTCTCTGTAAGCCTGGCTAGAGGTATGTCTATTTTATTTTTTCAAAGAACCAGCTTTTGATTTCATTGCTGTTTTGGATTATTTTTTTAATTTCTATTCGTTTATTTCTGCTTTGATTTTTATTTCCTATCTTCTGCTGGCTTTATGGTGTTTTTTGCTGTTTTTTTTTTTTTTTTTTTTTTTCAAGCTCTTTGAGATATGAGATTGGGTTGTTTCTTTGAGTTCTTTCTTGTTTTTTTTTTTTAAAGATTTATTTATTTTTATACAAGAACCCGGGGTATAGGGCAGATGTGCGGGAGGGTGAGAGGAGTCACCAGAGACAGAGTGGGGAACAGAACAGGCAGACTGATGAAATACACAGCTGAGGGGAGCAGCGGGCGAGACAGGAGAGGTCTGCCGCGCCATGTGGGACCCTCGCCGGCCGGCCAGGATTGAACCCGCACTGCAGAGGCTGTGGACAGCTTCACAGTGCGGCGCTCAACCACCTGTGCCACCAGGGAGGCCCTCTTTCTTGTTTTTTGATGTGAGCCTGTATTGTTACCTATTTTCCTCTTATTACTGCTTTTGCTGCATCCCATACATTCTGGAAAGTGGTGTCCTCCTTGTCATTCAACTCAAAGTATTTTTCAATTTCTTCTTTGATCTCCTCATTAGTCCAGTGGTCTTCCAGTAGTGTGGATTTCAATCTCCATGAAGTGGGAGACTTCCTTGTTTTCTTTTCATGATTTACTTCTAGTTTGATGCCTTTATGATCAGAGAATGATTTGGAATGATTTTGATCTTCATGTATCTGTTGATGTTTGTCTTGTGGCCCAGAATGTGATCGATTGTGGAGAATGATCTGTGCATGTTTGAGAAAAATGTGTACTCAGATTTTTTTGGGTGCAGTGTCCTATAGATGTCTGTTAAGTCCATGAATTCTATGTCTTTATTTAGGGCTCTAGTGTCTATTTTTTGTCTCGTTGATCTGTCCATTGGTGAGAATGGGGTGTTGAAATCTCCCACTATATATGTATTTTCTTTAATGTCTGTTTTCAGAGCTGATAATAATTGTCTAATATATTTTGGTACTCCTTCATTTGGTGAGTATATGTTCATGAGTATTATAGCTTCCTGATGTATTGTCCCCTTGATCATAATGTAGTGTCCATCAATGTCTCTTTTTACCTTTTTTAACTTGAAGTGTAGCTGTTCCTGTCTTCTTTTTTTGGTCCATTTGCATGTAGAATTGTTTTCCAACCTTTTACTTTAAGTCTGTGTTTATTTTTTGTGGTTAAATGTGTTTCCTAGAGAAAGCGGAACGTTGGATTTTGTTTTTTTAATTTGTGTCTCTTTATTGATGAGTTTAATCCATTTACATTTAGAGTTAATATTGATATGTTGGTATCTGTATTTGCCATTTTGTTTGTCTTTTTTGTGATTTCATTCCTCACTTTATTCTGTTCTTAATCATTCCACTGTTGGTTTTGGCTTTAGGACTTCTTGTAGAATTTTTTGGAGTGGGGGTTAGTTGGGGTTGTAATGAATTTCTGGAGTCTGTTTGAAAAGGTCCATATTTTTTCTTCATAGAGGAAGGAGAGCTTTATAGAGTAAAGTATTCTTGGTTGGCATTTGCTGTGTTGAATGAAGTCTGCTGAATGTTACTCCATTCTCTTTTTGCCCGTAGTGTTTGTTCAGAGAAGTCTGAGGTTAACCTGATTGATTTTCCCTTAAAAGTTATCTGTTTCTTCCCCTTGCTAGTTTCATTATTTTTTTTTTTTTGTCTTGGACTCTTGCAGGCTTTACTGTTATGTGTCTTGCTGTAGTTTTCTTTTCACTGTGGTAATTGGGTGTTCTCACTTCT